AGACAGAGTTAGCTTCTCGGTATATGCTCATTATAACTAAGCTCTGCACAGTTTTATTGCCTTTTTATACCATAGAGAATCTAAATTAACAAAAATTCTGCAAAAAGATTTACACAGTTAAGAGTCTGATTACCCTGCACCGCATAGATTTTCTTTGCTCACACATTCGGACAAAAATGCCATAGTAACCATGCCGCACCACTAGGTGGCAGGAATGTCCGCATTTTAAATTTTTTTCCCATTGTTTTTTTTTTTTTTTTTTCAAAATTTTTATATTTTAAGTCCACACAGAAACCTGCATCTATCCATCCATTTTCTTTACCCGCTTATTCCATTTTGGGTCACGGGGGTCGCCGGTGCCCATGTCCAGCAATCACTGTGCGAGGGGCAGAGTACACCCTGGATGGGTCGCAAGTCCATCACAGGGACACATAGAGACAAACGACCATTCACTTTCTCACTCACACCTAAGGACAATTTAGAGTTACCAATCAGCCTAACATGCATGTTTTTGGTCTGTGGGAGGAAACTGGAGCACCCGGAGAAAACCCACACATGCAAGGAGAGAACATGCAAACACACAGAAACATAAAAAAAATGAAATTTCAAAGATATAATTTGGAAATTGTTGGTAAAAAAAAATCACTTATTTTAAATGCCTTTTTCATGTTAATGAGAGGTTCTCATAGAACAGACGTAGAATACATACATAGTATTTTAAAATATATTTTTCCTTCCCGTCAAAACTTATTCTGTTCAGACTTTTATCATAACATTTTTTCATTTTTCTTCTGTCGTATTGTTTTTGTCCCTTCTTTCAAATTTGATGCGTTATGGACATTATTTACTACAGCTGCTCTTTGAATCGACTTGTTTATCATGAAAATTTTTGTTTTGCTCTGCATGTTCATGGGATGGATGTAGGGATTGTACAAGTTTACTGTTTAAACTCGCATTAATAACCACACAAGCTGCTCAGAGGCTTCATCCAGGCCATTGTTTTGGTTTTAGGTTTCTGACCAGAGTTCTTATAGTGTATTTCGTTTAGCATAAATAGGAGAAAACAATAATATTCCAAGATTTTTGTTTGTTTGTTTGTTTCAGCTCAGTGCACCTAGCAGCCATGAGGGATCTCGATTGTTCTTAAATCATCAAAGTGTGAGATCTTAAACTAGCATAAAACATTTACATAATGTAAATTTGCAGAGCAGCTGTTGATGAGGAGATGATGTGATTATCTCATACCTTTAAGCTTCTTTCTTATTCTGAAAATATGTGCAAACATTATGTTTTAATAATTGAACAAGTGACAGTGACTGAAGCCTCATTCGAACTGTGTAATCACATTATCCACTGAGGCGGGGGCTGTAATTGGGTTCAGATGAGTCTCAGTTCATTGGGGTTACCTCCAATTCTCATTCATCGTGGTGATTCATTCAGCCTTAAATAAAGAGGAAATGTGCATAAATAAACTCATCATAAAAAATAACTGCAGGCATTTTAATTTGATTAAATTGGTTGATCAAGGGAAGTATAAGGCTTTTCCTGTGTTTCACTGCTTTTCTGCAGCTTGTGAATATAAGAAGGTTTGGCTGCTGGATGGCATTTAGGAGATAAACTTGACTCTCATTGTAATGCATGAAAAAAGCAATTAATTCTATGGAGCTGACATTTTGTGTGTATTTCTGTGACCATTTAAATCTCCCTGGTATAATCTCCGACCTTATCAGAATGAGTTGTCTCCATAGAGACTAAAGCCTGCTCCTACATTTCTGTAGCCATGGTCAAGTTTAAGAGAAAAATGAAGACTTAAAGACATATGGTTGTAATGCTTCAGGTTGTTCCGCTTCAGATTATTATGCTTCAGGTTGTTATGCTTCAAGTTTCAACACTTCATGTTTCAACACTTCAGGTTGTAACGCTTCAAGTTGTTACACTTCCTATTATTATGCTTCAGGTTGTTACGCTTCAAGTTGTTATGCTTCAGATTATTATGCTTTAGGTTGAAACACTTCAGAATGTAACATTTGAGGTTGTAACGCTTCAGGTTGTTACGCTTCAGGTTGTTACGCTTCAGGTTGTTATGCTTCAGGTTGTAATACTTCAGATTGTAATACTTCAGGTTGTTATGCTTCAGCTTGTAATACTTCAGTTGTTATGCTACAGATTATTATGCTTCAGGTTGTAACACTTCAGGTTGTTATGCTTCAGATTATT